AAATAGACTGCTCTTCGCAGTTGAGAAAAGGTTTGGGCTTTAAAAAGTAGTGTCAGAAGTGGGATTCGAACCCACGCCTCCATTCGGAGACCAGAATGCCCCGCTTCACAGGAAGGTTTCAACCTTGAGTCTGGCGCCTTAGACCACTCGGCCATCCTGACAGCTGTGGGGTTTCCGACGGAACTGCATGGTTAAGTACGGGAGAACGGCGTCGTGTGACGTCCGTTGTCGAGATCGTTTTTAGTCTTTACGTTCTTGAGGGAATGTTTCTGAAAACACTAAGTTCTTTCATTTAGTGAAACCTAGAGTCGTAGAGCCGACAGATCCACTGGGCGTGCTGTAGAAAGGTATTACAAAACGTACTTCCGGTTGAAAGACACGTGACTCCCAGCCAACCCAACGATTCTGTCATTCTTATGAAACGAAAAAGCAGCTAAATACACCCTCGCATGAATAACTCTCTTCAGTCGACACGGCCAGTTCAAGCAGCTGCTGCCTAAAGGAGAACATGTCTTTTTACAGGAATGCCGTCTGGTTCGTGAAAGGACTGCAGGAGTATACTAAGTAAGTGCAGTGCATTTACATTAGCTGGTAAACACTAGCTTGGTAGTTTTTAAGGCTTTCCGAAGTCAAACAACGTGTCGCTGTCAGTGATTGATTCAGTGGTCGTCCGGTTACACAAGATGTTATACGGCTGTTGCACCTTCGATGCAATAATAATAATAATAATAATTAGCATAACGTTAAAAGTTCTTATGCTCTGTCAGCAATGAGCAAAACACTCAAAATATTGAAGAAAAAACATGATGTGATTTTGTTTTCTATCAGCAGCACCTGCATGAATTTTCAGAGATAAATTGCTTTCATATCAGGAGTTACTGTGAATGGACTGTAGTAAATTATCACCACAAATCCACCAACTTCTGCCTTAGAAGTTGGTGGATTGTAATGCATGACATGATGAAGGAAAAACTGATTAGCGCCCTCTAACGTTCATTGTTGGAAGCAGAAGGAAAACTCAGCTGGAAAGACAATTTACTCAGAACACAGAAAATACTTGAGAGGCTCCTGTGCCTCACATGACTTCATCACTGAGCGTGGTATTCTCTGATTATGTTCAACAGGAGCGGCTATGAAGCTGCGGCGAAGCATTTCTCTCCGGCCGACCTGGATGTGAACCTGAGCGACAGGTGCTTCATGGTCACAGGCGCCAACAGCGGGATCGGGAAAGCAACAGCACAGGAAATTGCCAAAAGAGGTGAGCGTTGTGTCGGGATGCCCCGCAACTAAGCGCAAGTTTGAGGTGGAAATTACTACTGTAGAAATGAAGCTCGAATGCAGCGCCCGCTGTGCTGTGCACACAGTGTGACGTCTCCTCTGTTCCCTAGACTGGAAACGAATCATCTGAACGTTTCTTTTTATAGCTATCAAGGAAAAAAATAGCAGCGACACGCATCTCTTACTTACATGTATAAGTCACGATTCTTTTCGCATAAAAATCTGTTGTAATCAAGGTCTTGATGACGATTTGAATTGATCCCGCAGGAGGAACTGTTCACATGGTTTGTCGAAACAAGGAAAGAGCAGAGACGGCCAAAGGAGAGATTGTGGCACAGAGTAAAAACGAGGTAACTTTATTGCCTTTTTCTCGACTGTAAACATAAATCCTTACATCTATGTGAGCCCGGCATTGTTAGAAAAGAAAAAAAAAAAAAAACGCCCAGATGCAAGCCAGTCCACACCTTTCTGTCAATTTGTAACTTTGAAATATTTTTCCATCAGAGCACCTCTGGACCCAGCCGTATGGGGCCCATATGCATTCAGTTCAACAAACAATAGTAAAAAGGTCGTCGCTGGCAGCAATAAAGAAATGTGTTGAGCAGAAAATCTTTTATTGGTACAGAGAGAAATGCGGGGAAAATGCTTAACCTCGGCCCCCGCCGGCTTCGCAAACCTGGGAACTGATTTTACCGACCGATTCCAGCTCAGTCAGTTGTAAAGTCACAAAATGCAAAAAAAGAAGAAAAACAAAAAAATACTACTCTCACAATGAATTTCTGAGCCTTAAACGGAACTGAATTGTTCCAAAAATTAAGTCACACATAATATCATTATATCTGAAGAAGGTGAACTTAAAAAAAAAAAAAAATTGCTTCCCTTCTCTTTGAAGAACGTTCACGTCCACATCGTGGACATGTCCAGTGCCAGGCAGGTGTGGGAGTTTGCGCAGAGCTTCTCTCAAAACAACAAGCTGCACGTGCTGGTAGGTGTCTGCAGATTTATGCGACCTTCTGCCTTGTGGGTCCCTCCCGCCGTCTCATCGTCCCTTTCCTCTTGTGTCTTAGATCAATAACGCAGGCTGCATGGTCAACCAGAGGGAGCTGACGGAGGAGGGCTTGGAAAAGAACTTTGCCACAAACACGCTCGGTGGGTAAACGAAATCCCTAAAGTCGCAGAACAGAGGAAGATGTTAGAAAATGTGTGAATAGTACAATATGTTGTTACGGCTACTAAATGCAACCTTTTCCTTTCTTTTTATCTTTACGCCCAGGTACCTACATCCTCACCACTGCACTGATTCCCGCACTGAAGAAGGTGGAAGACCCCAGAGTGGTGGGTTCAGTCCCGATAAGATAAGCGGGTGACTCTCGAACCGATCGGGCCGGATCAGAACGTTCGACGTTTTTAAACGACGACTGCTGTGTCTGTCCTCAGATCACCGTGTCGTCGGGCGGCATGCTCACGCAGAGGCTCAACGTGGACGACCTCCAGTTTGAGAAGGGCACGTTCGACGGCACCATGGCGTACGCTCAGAATAAGGTGAAACTGTCCGCACTGATTTCTAGAGAAGCCAAGGTGTACTGAAAAATTCTGAAATTTGTGTATCAAAAATTAAGGCCTGAAAATGTCTTTAAAACCAAAATTTCATTTGGACTTTATTTGTCGTGACAGGTCTCCTTAGTCTTTTTGTTTTTTATTATTATTTATTATTATTCTTGCCTGACTGTTCTGTCTAAAATTTGACAGCAGGCATTCTTTGATTGCAGGCTGCAGAGGCTACCGCTAACTAGCTGCTGATAGCTAGCAAGCTAGCTTTTCTGCCTGTTACAAGTATATTTATCTTCATTTGGACGACCTTTGTTTCCACCACTAGCTCACTTCTGTTGCCATCCCATACAAGGCTAAGGACCATTCTGCTCAAAAATTAAAACATTTAAAATTCCGCTTTATATGTACAGCAGGATCCCCAAACCATCCCTACACATATAGTTTTGGTCTTAAATTTTATCCACGGTCTTAAAACCTCTTTTGATTTGACTTGCTGATGCCCTGAAGCCACACTCACACTTTAGTGCTTCTTACTGTGTTTCAGAGACAACAGGTGATCCTCACAGAGAGGTGGGCTTCTCAGCACAAAGAGATCCACTTCTCCTCAATGCATCCCGGCTGGGCTGACACGCCGGGTAAAGCGCTTCCACCCAAATCCTTCAGACTGCTTTGTGTTTAGCTTGTCATCACCAGAGGAATTTCACAAACAGATTCTTGCCAATCAGCAAGAAGGCAAACATTTTCCAGTCTGCTTTGTGACGGAGGCTTTGGTTTTGTGTTTCCTTGTGCAGCCGTGCAGTCCTCCATGCCTTCGTTTCACGCCAAGATGCAGACCAAGCTGAGGACGGAGGCCATGGGGGCAGACACGGTGGTGTGGCTCGCCGTATCGCCCGCCGCCGTCAAGCTGCCAAGCGGGCAGTTCTTTCAAGGTGAGAAATCCCTCGTCGTTTCCAAATCCGTTCTGGCCGATTTGTGAGTGTGAATCCTTGTTTCTGTAAATTTGATCAGACTTTTGAAATAATCGGTAGGAGGGCGTCCACGCATCCTTAAAAAGTCTTAAATTCAAGGTCTTAAAATGACTTGAATGCGTTAAACGATGTACGTTGGCCTTTCAGATCTTAAATGTTGTGGCAGGACTATTTAGTCTCATATATCCGATGTTTATTTCTCTGTTAGGCAAACATTTTGAGTCAGACGCAGAGTGACTCTTCATTCCCTTCTTTGACTTGGGGCGGTTGAGGCTACCGCTAACTCGCTAGCTGTCATCCAAGTGGCACGAAGGGAAAAAAAACTCTGAAAGCTAGAAGTAGACGTGAATTAAAAGTCATGTTTTAATAATACGGCAATGGAAACTTTAGGATTAAACTTTTTAAACAAGATCAGCCAAAATTGAGGGTGAAGCAAGGATTTAAATGTACAGCATTTAAACCGTCTGACGCAGCTCTGTTCATTGTGGTTCTTGTCATCATCTTCCCGGCGGCGAGGCGTTCCTGTGACTCTGCGTCTCTTCTGCTCCTTCAGATCGTAAGCCGGTGGCGACCCACCTCCCCCTGGCCTCGTCCCGCTCCTCTCCGCAGGAGGAGGAGAAACTCCTGGCAGCGCTGGAGGAGTTCGCCCAAAAGTTCAAACCTTAGCATCTGGAAAACTGGCTGCTTATTGAGACAAAAGCACTCCGATGACACTACATGACCATTTACAAAAATCCTTTTCAAACCAATGAAACGTGTCTGACTGAAATAACAAGAGTCGAGCTTTGAAATGCTTTTTGGAGGTTAGATCTAAAAATGTGTGTGTGAAGAATAATTTTTTTTTCTTTTGTAATTTTTCAATGCTTTTTGACAAAGAAGTTTTAAATCAAGCGCAGTTAAAAAGTTGTATGCACACAGTCATATTTTAAATGATTTTTGCTAAATGTATTAATTCAATTAAAGTGTTTCATAGTGTGTATCTATATATTTTTTTACCACAGTGAAAGACCACATACTTGACAGTTAATGACAAAACTTTCACATGAACTGGAAAACACAGAAAAAAAAAACACTGAAAGAGCTTCAAAGGGTTGTTTACTGATATATTACTGGAAAGTTGAGTGGAAGAAAAAAGTGTGAAGCAATAGAAATAACTGCAGCTTTCAGTATCAGTTGAGAAATACACGACTCGGACATGATGGATCAGGGTAAATACTTTTTGTTTTAATTGACTGTCTATACACAGTGAAATTCACAAAAACTCTGAAATTCAACTTTTTTTCCCCCCCTCTTTCCTGCAACAAAATGTCAAAGAACTGGCCTTAAATTAACTTTGTCTGCTCTGGAGTTTAGAAGCAACAAAAACCTAGAAGAAGTTTTAATCTAACTCGGTTTCTCCTGTGTGGTTAAGTTCGTGAAATAGAATATCAGTTCTGCTAACTCTGTATATTTTACACCAGTTTGAATCTTCAACAATCACACTTCGTTTAATTTAGCTTGCAGGTGTGTATTAGTTCACAGGAAGTGGTCGAGAAGATGAACTAAAAACACGAGAAGACGACTGCTCTACATTGTTATCACTAACAGATCACACAAACGTGTTTTCAGATCCATAAACAATAATCTTTGGAAGAAGCTCAGAGGGATTAGAGGGGTCATCACAGAAGCACGCAAAAAATTTAGGAGAAATCGATGATTTTCTGCCTTGTGATTCCAGTGCATCAACAGTAAAGCCAACATACAAAGCTGAAAAAAAAAACAAGAACAATTTTAACCGTTTTGTAGCAACATTTTTACACTCTGGTACATCTCTGAAATGCCACAGCGTCTAGCTGTGTTGATATGTGCTTCTGTACATGTTTCATATATGAAACAAACACTTAGAATAAATAATCTCGAGAAAATGCCGACAAGCACTTAACAGGACGTAGACGATGTTGTTACACAGCATGGTCCGAGTCCCAAACGCACATCAGGAGGCCTAACAACTGGAGCTTAAACTGGCTTTAAATCCAGAACCAAACAGATTCTGTGAGGCTTCCCGTGTGTTTCTGAAATGGACGATGCTGCACTCATGCAACACAAACAAACCATTATTCTGGCAGCTGCACTTTAACATCAAATTTGTTGCAATGGTTTAAGAAGTTAGGCTGCACTTCTTCCATTTTTATTTATTTCTAACAGAATTACTCAAGCAGAGCTAAAGCTTCCCATAATGCATCAGGCCATTGAGCAGTGATGTCATCTGGCCTGTGATACAAAGCATAATTTTACTTTCATTAAAAAATGCCTGCTTGAGGAACGATGAGGGAATTTTATTTTGTAGGGAGTGAAGATCTATTGCTACGTTAATTGAGATTACATGATGGCTCTCTGCTCAGAATATGTTCATGCGACAGCCATTTTCACCAGATTATTTCACAAAATTAACTCAAAGAGGCTGGATTAAAGGGACAAGCCGCCCTAATGCTACTTCCTTTATCACTTCCAAACCTGCATCAGCTGATATTTATGGATTCAAAGTCAATCACTGTTCAGAAGAGACCAAAACATTTTGTTGGAAATGTTGGAATGTTGTTGGAGGTTAACTGTCTGAAATATAACATTAAAAATGTTACAGGAAATGTTGACCAATTACCTTTAAAGGGAAAAGTAATTAAATAAAAAAAAGCAGGTTGAAAAATCTTTGAGAGCAGACTACAATTATAAGATATTACATTTCTTACAAGATCAAATGCCAGAAATCATCCCAGAGTACAAGCATGATTACTCCAGATATCAATCAAAGACCAACCAGTCTGTGACCTCGTGTTGAGCAAGACGTTGCATCGTTCTCAGGCTTCTCTCGGGCCGGCCGTGTCGTCGCTGTGAGAGAACGCAGCAACCCAGGCTTCGTTCCTAAATGGCGATAAAATATTATCCAGATGACACAGAAGCTGTTTCCTCTTTCTCATCGAAGTGCGACTGGTCAGTCGGCCAAAATGCTGTCCCATGTCCACGGAAACTCACGACACCACAGGAGTCATGTCCCATATCTGCAAAAAATAAATAAATAAATGCAAGAACAACTTCTGTTTAAATAAGGGCAGCCATCAAGGCCAAGTTAGAGGCTAAGAGGAAACTTTAGTGAGTGAGAGAAATATGCTATATATTTTCAATTGAATCAAAAGAAAAAGAATAGCTTCAGATCACAAACATCCTTTTGGAAACACATTTCTAGAGCTCCAGAGAGAAACGTGTGAATTCTCATCCATAAAACGGTCTGCAGTCTTTTTACAGCTTTTCTCTTTAACTTTAACACTCAACAGACTCCGGTCTGAACTCTGACTGCTGTTTCTGTTGTGAAACAAATAAATCTATTTAAAATGAGGCACAAACAATTGAATTTACTGTTGATTTTCTCAAAATAAAGCATACAGGTAAAAAATAGACATAATTAGCAAATAGATCCTTTATCAATTTGCAGGTCAAGCCCATTACTGTTTCTTTGGTGGGGAACCAACAAGCTTCTGACATAACTCTGGATTTGTTATTTTACATATTTACAGAAAAACAATATATTTTTCTATCATAAAAGCAAAATGTATGCATCTTTTGTACTGTTTTTTGCTTAATTACTTCTCTGGGTAATTTATTCTTTCAGAAAATGGCATGGTTTTAGAGTCTATATACTCTGCTTAACGATTAATCGATTACTAAGTTAGTTGAGAATTATTTCCGACATCAATTAATTATGATTAATCCGAATAACAGTTTCAGACCCGGTTCCCAGAAGGCAATGGCTTGAATAGATGAAGTGCAACTGTACTGAAAACAAACACCACAACCTCTGTTGGAGTGACAATATGCAGCCAGTTATGTCTGAATTTGCAGATGTATTTTGAAGTCAAATGGTCAAAAATTCTTTAAATAAGCCCAGGATCAATATAACATTTGAACTGCATTTGCACTTTTTCAAAATTATTATTTTTGCTTCAACTTTGACATTTTCAATTTGTCTTCTTCGCTTTTGAGCAACTCATAGAAAATGATTGGTTCGGTTTCTTGACCAGCTGTCGCCCCCTGGTGTCCGAACCCACAAACTACAACGTTGAAAACTCGTCATCTCCGGTGCAGACCTTGACGACCTTGTCGGTGCCGGAGGTGAGCAGGTTTCCCGTGGTGGGCTCGTAGTGCATGTAAACAATGTTGTGCTTGCTGTCGTGGAAGGTGGCAGTGGGAGCTCGGCTGAAACACACACACACGCGCGCACACACACACACACAAGAGTTGGAGACGTCAGCGTGAGAGCGCCAGGGGAACGCCGGGAGCACAAAGGGACAGTATACGGCACCGACAGAGGCTGATTGTGACTCACTCTTCGTCGGTGATGGACTCGTGGCAGCTGTCACACACCCGCACCTCAAACTCGAAGCCCATGAGGGGGATGGTGGAGCGCTTGGAGGAACATTTGCCGCACACGGCCTGGCCACACTTCCTGCAGTGGTGCTGAGGAAAACATGACAGGCCAAATATGATGACCCTCATTTCTCATCAGTGAGGGAAAGAATTAAGTCAGTCGTTGACTTTGGACCTTCTGTAACAGTTCTTAAAAACTTTTTAAAAAAAAATAAAAAAACTCAATAATGCTTTAATTAAAAATGTAATAACAAATGCTGGCTTAAGCTGCTTTTAATCATGCAATAAATAGATTTTTCCAAAAACAAATACTATTTTTAATAGTATTTGTTTTAGATTTATATTTTCTTTGTCGTTAAGTTTGAAATGATGGATTGTTTCAAATTTCATTTTTCATAAATTTCAGCATGCCGCCCAAGAAAACATAAAATAAAAAAATACAATAAAAAAATGCATGTTTTTACGGCATTTTAAAATCTAGAAAGAAATAAAAGGTGGTTCTTCAAAAATGACAACTGTCCTGAAGAACAGTTTTTTTTTGTTGCCATTTTTTTTAAAAGTCTTGTGACATTTGGAGCTCTAATTAATTCTTAATTAACTGAATCAAGAGCAAATATGGCTCTCAGGATTGTAAAAGTTACAGATGTAGAATCTCTGAGTTGAATGTTTTGCAAGAAGCTTTTTGTAGATCTACAATCTTATATTTGCAATGTGTCAGACTGATGAAGAGGATACATCTGCCTTAGGGAAATAAGAGCTTTGCCTATTAAAACTAGATAGAAAGTCAAACAGCAGGGAAGTCGAATGGTCGCCCGACCAACCAGGGCAGGCGTTCATAAAAGACGCAACGTTTATGTAAACTGAACGCTGGAGGAGCGGAGACTGCAGGAGAAAAGCAGTTTGTTTGCAAAATCACAACATTTTATGAAGTATTTTTCATCTACTTTTTACTGCAAATATCTTAGCACACTTTAAATAAGACAAAACCAACTTACAAGTAACTTTTCAGTAAGATATAGGGGCTTGTTTTGACTAAACTCCTTCATATTGATAAAAAAATACTAGCTTTAAGTCTGCCAGTGGAACGAGACATTTATCAGTGAAACAATCCAAATGGAACTCGTACTTTTGGTGTAAACACTCCTGTTAAGAAGGCTTTTGTGATTTAAGAAATAATAATAAATCACTACACATTTCAAATGATTTTTACAATTCAGATGGAAATCAAATCTAGCAAATGTTCCCCAAGTCTACTGGCTTTTAAGAACATCTGGTTGGACTCTGCAAAACCCATTGTTCCTTATATGAATCTGTTGCTTTGGAGATTTGGATGAAACTACCAAACTTTGGATGGATGTACTTAAACTTCTGACCCATTTTGACAAGGAAAAACAACAATGAATTGCCAAAAAACTACAAACATTATGTTGTTAGTTCTTTCTGCAGCACTTGGGAAAACTTTGCCACTTTGTCCAAGAACCCCAAACACACTTAAAGGAGTAACCACAACACGAAGCCGTTTCTGAGAAGCCGGCAGTAAAAAAACCACAGGATGTTTTCTCAGCATTAGCGTGGCAGAAGTGAAGGGCTCTAGGAATGTTTTCTCTGGAATAACGAGAGCAAGGATCATGCACGGCTGCTCGAGCAGAAGGAGAGGTTTTTCCCGCCTGATGATGAAAGCTGAGGGAGTTTTGGTTCAGGCAGCGTGACGTACCTGTCGCAGGCCGATCTTCTTACTGTCCCACATCTGTTTGAAGTTCCAGAAGAAAGGCTGCTCACACTTCTGACAGGAGTCGCTGTCCAGCCACTCTGGAGTCTGCACACATGCATAATGCAAAATTACAGCTTCTCTCCAGCTCTGCAGTGAGAGAACTCCCAATGTTGAAACAAAGAATGGGGAGAGTTAGGAAATAAAATTAGCATGCGATCAGAAGTTGCTCATTTTATGCCCTGATTGGCAAACAGCCAATTCCGCTGAGCGACTTTAATTATTTCAGCTGAGCATTAAAAGATACTGGAGAAAGCACAATTCTGACAGAGCAGGCTCAGAGTAGTCATGAAGCCAAAACTGAGCAAAAAATATATGCATTCACATGTGATTAAAAACGAAAAAAAATTCTTTGTCTGTAAAATGTTTTACCCAGAACTCAAGGGACCTAATTTTAACTTCACCTTGTTCACATTCTCTAAGAAAAATATGGTTTGTTATCCAATTATCACCGTAATTGGTCATTCAAAGAAATAGTAAACAGATCTGTACTGCTCTATACTGTACTGATGTTAAGAGCAGCAGTAAGAAATATTATTTTTAGCTGAGGATGGATCCTTTACTACAAGTAATCAAATGTTCGCTGAAGCATCGCTGCTATTGCATTTCATGCAATATGTTGAAAAATGTTTATTTTCCTTTTTTTTAAAAAAAGACTTGAATTATTTATTTGCATCTCTTTATGCATGTTTAACACTATATAAAAATAGCTTTTTAAGGTATGAAATGAAAAATATGCAGGATGACCCAATTTTTTAAATCTGATTAATCGATAGAATAATTGATTATTACAATAATCGTTAGTTGCAGCCCTAGCCAGAAGCAAAATTCACATCAGTTTGGAGATCTCTATCGAGACAGTGCCGCCTCTTCCACCACAACTGATATTTAGGAAAACTCCAGTCTTCCTAAAACCCCAAAAATCACTTCCAGCTGAAGTTATTGGGGTCTTTCTATTGAGCCTTAGACATTTTGTGTGACTGTTGTTGTGAAACCAGGCCACAGAGTCTGTTTTTCTTCTGCTGTAGGTCTTCTCACTGTAAATTGGCGCCTCTGCCCCGACTGCAGATCCTTGTTTATCACACAAACATGAGAGCCAAATGTGTCAAGTGACTCTCATAAACAAGGTAAATCAGCAAAAAACATTGAACTTTGGTTTGACCTTTGCAAAACACTGATCCAGCAATGGCAGTGAAAACACTTTGTATTCCAGCAGTGAGTGTTTCCCTGCTGGAGAAGATGCTGTTTCAGAGCGGGGGAGAGAGTTTGGGCAAAACACAGAGGCAAAAATGTGGGTCTGATTAAATAAAGACAAAACTAGGTCCCAGCTAACTGTGTGGAGTCAAGTGGAGCAAAACAGGAAAACAAAGATCGCTCCTCCACAGCAGAGGTTGAACTGATCTTCATTTGCTTCTCTTTAGAACGATTTGGTGCGCTGAGTCGACTTCGATGTCAGCGATTACACGCTCACCTCCTGCCGAGTCACGTCCATGTTCCAGATGACGATGCTGCCATCTGAGCTGCAGGAGATGAGCTGGCGGGTGTGTGAGGCATAGCAGAGGCCCTGGACTTTGTCACTGACAATTCAACACACACACAAAAAAAAAATCTTAAATCAGTCAATGACAGCTAACGTTGGGCTTCGCATCGTCTAAACCTGCTTCAAATCTGCTGTGTACAAGAGCTGAGAACAAACTCTGAGCTAATTGGTTCGTCCTGCTGAAGATGTGTGTTTCCTACTTGTGTCCCTGCAGTTCGATGGCAGTGCCTTTCCTCCCTCCGATGTCCCACATGATGATGGAGTGGTCAGAGCTGCCGGAAAACAGCACCCGCTGAGCCGGGTCCCAACACAGCGCCGTCACATTACCTGCCACGCAAAGACAAGTACAGGAAATAAATCCTCCTGTTTTTTAAAAGTTTTTTTTTTTTTTTTTTTGCTGCTGTTTTCGTTTCATATTCTGTCATTTCTGCTGCTTGGTGCAGTATTTTGATTCGATGGTTAGTATTTGTTAATTTTTTGGGGGGGGTTTTTGCATGCAGTCAGAGTCCCACAAAGACAAATACTTATAAATGTTCAAAATCTGACTTTGAACGTACTCATGCATACATAAATACACCTAAAACAATCTGACAAAAACTATGGTCTTCATGTGGCATTATTTGAACTGATAGTCTTCTTGTCTAAATGTAATGGCCATAAAAAAGTTATGGCAAACTATTGTGGGACTACATACACTGTCATTTCCTTATTTTTGTACCTAAATAAGCTAGCTTGTTTATTTGATACCCAGCATTCCTGAAGGTTGGGTATCTGCCTTCAGGGTATCACCAACTCAAATTTAAGATTCAAAGAATGAATGTAGAATCTAATGGGTTGGCAGTAGACGTGGTCCGGTGGCGAAGATGAAAGCTGTTCAGCCAACTGGCATTAAATTTGCACTTACCCACGACAGACGTAAAAAAGCTAGTAACTAGCTGCTAATATCCCCTTGCTATCAATGTAGTTAGCAAGGTGATATTAGCAGCTACAGTATATACTGGTAGAAAACCAGACAAACGTTTGTGTGACTCAAAAGTCCTGCAGGGAAAAGAAAAACTCCACAGGATATGCTAGATTAAATAGTCCCGCTACAACAAAGTCATTTAAGACCTCCTGCAGTTCACACACACACACACACACACACACACACACACACACACACACACACACACACACACACACACACACACACAATTCACATTAATAATTAATGAATTTAAGACCAACTTACATTTTTATGAATGTAAGTGGCTTTAAGGCCACAAAAGACCTTTTCAGGACGCACAGACATCCTGTTAAATGTTATTTTGGTGAAATTATACCAGGCGCAGTTTTTTATTTTTATTTATAGTCAGATTTCCTGTTTTTTAAACAGCATTTGTTTCGTCTACTTACAGTTTGACACTCACTGGAAATGTTCAAACCTTATTCTTATTCATTTAAATGCATTGGTAAGCTATGAGGCTGAACCAATTTAGTACAACCAACGACACAGACTGGTTCAAAATATCTTCACGTCGGCTGTCACGAAGGCTCAGCTCCGTCACTTATTATGATGCACCATGAGGTTTTAATCAGAATCAGATAAGGTCTGTGTCACTGAGTGCATCACTCAACCGTCCTTCCTGCAGATAAGTGAAATATAACCCCCTCTGATCTGTGGCAGGATGTTTTCTTTTTTTATTCTTGCTCACCAAACCTGATGTGCATTGATTAAATAAGAAAATAATTGGATTTTCTCATAGGAATTTGCATTAATATATACTTATACCAATAGCTTACTCCCTACTATTAGACATTTTTCCTTAGCTATTTGTTACGATCATTTCATTTTAATAGCCTAAATGTTTATAATAGAAAACAGAGGAACCAAGTGTGTGGGGGTGTAATCATGTGATGTACCTGTGTGTCCTTTGAAGGTGGTAACCAGGCTGCAGCTGTCCTGCTCCAGCTTCAGGATGGTCACCTGACCAGACTGGTCCCCTACAAAGGCGTGCCTGGTCTCCACATCAAACCTGGTCAAAGGTCAAGAAACAATTCGCAGAACAAACAAATGTTGATTGTAATTAACGAGCTCTGCCTTTTACTAACAGGTCGGCACCAATGTTTAGGTGAAAGGTGTTTTCAGAGGTTTGTCTCAGGCTCCAGGCAACGTTTAACCTCCCCAACCTGTTGGGCTGATTAGATCACCACAAGAGTCAATCATTGCTACATGGCTGCAGAAAGGAGGAAGTTAAAAACAAAACAGGCAAATTTCCTATAGCAATGTTCAACCAAAGGAGAAAAATAGACATTATAGGATTTAAATCTTCAACTCATGAGTATGTTTTGATTTGAACCATTCCCTTTTAGCTCTGCCAGCGTTTTTAGTGACTTCTTCCACAATTCTCCTATATTTAGCTTCTGCCTACAAAAGCTGTTACTAGCTTCCTCCACCTCGCTGAAAAATATCATCCCCCCACAGGATGATGCTGTCACCTCCATGTTTTAGCATGTTTTTTTCCCCTGCACCACATGTTTTTAATGTTGGCTAAAAAAAAAAACGCTAAGTTTGGGTCTTGACAAACCAGAAACTTCCTTCTGCACCGTTCATGCCGTTCATGACAAACTGCAACCCAGATGTCTGGCGACTTTCTTTCAGCTTTCTTCTAATCACTCTTCCTTAAGGTCTACATTTGTGAAAGGTCTCGGTTCTTCAACTATCTGTAGTAATTAAACTAGATAAACAAAAGCAAATGTTTGCATACTGGATTACAAGACAAATGCCAGTTTGGCTCATAATTTATGTGCTTTATTTAAAAAAATAAATAAATTCCAGATCTATCTGGGCTCAAGTTTAAAGTTTTTTCAGACATTTGAGTAGAAAGAAAACGGTTTACCTACTTGTGTTTTACAATCTGTACGGTCAATAAATTATAAAACTGAGGTTTCTGATCCAGCAAGTCAGGTAAAAATCACTGCTTTATTTAATGTCTCTTGACAAGAAGTCGAGGTTGCAATTTGTAAGCCTAAATCAAAATTGCAGAAAAAAAAAAATAATAATAATTTACAGTCTGTTTTTTCTTTCAAAACATATCTTTAGCTTTCACATTTCAAACTAATAAAATTATAACCCAAAACATGCAAAGGAAAGAAATGCAAATAAAACTACTTTCTGAAAACAGCAGCAGCTCAAAATGTTAAAAACTGATTTCACAGGAACCTCTAAAAAATATGATGTTGAGATGTTTCAATTTACAACTAATGATCCAAATTGAATTTAAATCAATTTAAGGGCTGCTCTACTCTGCAGAAATCCAGATTTGTTTTCTTTCAGACGACACAATAAGAGATAAAAATGTGGAAAGTGGGATTGTTTTTCTATTGATCTTTTTTCTATACTTAAAATAGTCTAGCTGTAGAAAACATAAAACAATAAATAAATAAATTTCAGTCTTTCCCAGACATCACTGGAACCCTGTAGTCTAATGTTTATTACTCCATTTCACTGTCATCGTTTCTTGTAAAGAAAAAAAAAAGTCTATAAAAGACTATAATAAATACCTGCATCATTATACATGTACTGAGGTTAGTTTTTGGGTGCATAGCGTTAAAATGCAAACTCCATCTTTGAATACTGTCTCCTTATGCAGCTGCACGTGTTTCATAGGATGTGGGTTTAATGACTCTTAATGTTGAAATTATTCAACATTTTTGCTTAATTGACCTGACAGACCTACATGTGATTTTTATTTATTTATAAGCCACTGAAGTCCTGCTAATCAGTAGCATCTGCCTGGAAAACAAATTCATCCTCAGTGTAACACCATTAATGTGAGTTTAATACCAACAGGCAGCAAACATCACACCCACTTAGTTTCACCAGCACAGCCTCCAGAAAACAAAAAGGAAAAAAAACAAGGTCTCTGCCGGTTCCACGCGCTGCCAGCGAGTCGGGGCAGGATATTATCGCTGCGATGACCCGGCGGCGGATTCATTTGTATGGATCAGTGTTACTGCCGAGCACTCGCAGCCTTTCATCTGCCCATTACAGAAACCCACTCAGACTGTTTCCTTGACAGCAGCATGACTGATTCTTATTGTTAGTCCTTTCCATTATCACAAACCCACTGGAAGTTAATCTCAATTGCCCTGTTGTTTTTCTTCTTCTAATTGCTCCGTTTTAAATTAGAGCAGCCTTTCACAATAATTCTTCTTTTTTTTAACCAAATTCAAAACACTTTGTGTGAACGTTCGCTCTGCAGAGCGAGGTGACCTGCGGATGCTGATAACTGGGGATGACTGAGGCTTATTGAAGGATACTGCAGTCCTGAGACCCAGGCCGCGGTGCGATACGTCCCCAGCTGCTGGCCGCTCTCAGAGCAGTGCCAGGTGAAGTTTCTGTCCAGGCCGGTGCTCAGCAGCCACTCCATCTCCAACACAAAGAGCACCACCGCCACTCTGCCCTGATGGGCTGCAGAGAAAGCAGGCGAAAATGATCTGGTTAAGACTCAGTCGATCAGCGTTACCACACAGGAGCCTGCGTTTGGAGTGAATTATAATCAGGAAGAGATTGTGAAACAAAAATAACCCTGCATAGCATCATGATATTATAACATGCCATTTAAAAGTGCAGTAAAAGCCGATTATTAGGTTCAAAACCCAAGAAATGAAAGCATCTTGAGCCAATGACAGATGCCATATTTAAAGTTTTTTTGGATAGAGTGCCAAAAAGTATTTGTTCCTCTTCGCACTGTGTCTTGCTACAAATACAAGCTTCAATATTTGGGTGGATATTACTAGTGGGGGGACTTGATTCCAGATTTAATTGATTACATTGGAGGTTATGTATTTAATTAGTAGCAGTCAATCACATTTTAAACTTAATCAGATTAAAATGAAGTAAATACAATTTTAAATTCAAAAACCATGTTTGCTGCTAAATTAGACTCGTGAGCTCAACAACAAAGACGTTATTGTTTGTGATCTGTTATGAAGGTTTTTCAACCATTAGATTGATACAAAGCACTATTAAACTATAAACTGTTCCTGGAATGTCTGTGCATTCATGTAACGTCGTTGAAGAAAAATCCTTCTTTAAAAAGGTGAACTCTGGACTCTGACGCTGTTTGCGAATGACTTTTGTGCGTCAGATTTACAGGCGTACCAGAAACGTGTGAATACAAAGGGGCTGGCTTGAAACTTTGTAAAAATAAAAAATAAAAAAAAAATAAAAAAAGCAATATGATTAATTGCATGAAACTTTTTAGCACCTTAAATTCCATGCAATTAATTAATTAAAGTCCCCGACCTGAATTTTACGTGACAGACCAGCAGACAGCAGAAAATAACATTGAAGTGAAAGGAAAATCTGAAAAATGTGACGACCGTTTGTATTTACTGGCTGTTCAGAGAAGGCCTTTGTCAACATTCACAAACTCTCTCCATTTAATCTGACTGAGCCTGGGAAATTTTACAAAGAGGAGTGGGCAAATAATTCATTCATGGGTGGCCGTGACTGGTAAACACTACTGCACAAGACCTGTTGGTGGTTCTACAAAATATTTACTCAGGAGGCTGGATACACACACAGAAAAAAAATAAATAAATAATTCACTTAACTCTGCATTTACAAATAAGATGTGGAAAACGCATTTTATTTTTTCCATTCATCAATTACAAACCAGTCTGTCACATAAATTCCTCGTAAAATACATAGATGTTTGTGACAAAATGTGGAAAAGTTCAAGGGGGTGTGTGTATTTTTGCAATTCACTGTAGGAATATATGTTCAGGTCTTCTAAACATGTATTAAACATATTCATTTCTGTTTTTCCAAACTCCCGGTTTGCCTCAAAATATGAGAAATATCCGACTTTGTTCCACAGACAAATAAAAAGCGTCACGTCTCACCCTGGTATGTGAGTGCCGGGGTCATTTTGTTGTAGTCCTCTGACAGAACAAACTCCTGAAAGACAGAAAACAGAGAGAAATGTTTGCACCCATCGAGGTCAATGATAAAAATGACCAAGAGAAACAGAGCACGAGGTGAAAAGTAAACACAGTTTCATCAAAACACGACTGCAAAGGACTGGAGAACCTGCAGGCTACAACAGACAGAAGTTGTTCTGCACGACAACTTCCTCTGAGGCAACAATCATATCTAAAACCCTTCTGGGAGCTTTTTAGATTTCAGGTTCTGAGATTAAAATGTGCAACGTGCTGCTGTGGCCTTGTCTGATTTTCCTGTGGAGTTTTCTCATTCCAAAACAAAATACCAGATGGCGAAAATCAAACCCAATAACGAGGCCTTGCATCAAGCTTATTTTGTCAAAAAAAAAAAAAACACAATCTTTTGTATGTTAATATATGAAATGACAGTTTGGGTAATTTCATATATTAACGTACAAAACAAAGCAACGCAACGTTACATGAAAGATACTTTAACACTCGTGATTTGGGGGAAATTGAAGATCAGACTGACCTTTAAAATAACGCACATAATATTACACAAAAGCCAAGGCAGGAATGGTTTAAGGAAGTAACATAAACAGTACTTTCTGTTAAGGAACAGACAAAGCCCCCTTTACACAGGACAGAATCTGGATCTGGTCAAACCTGGACAACCTGCCATCAATACCCAGTCATGCTTTCACAAATCAAAGTTTTTCCCAATTTTATTTCTGAATGTCTAACCCAAAAATGTCCCAATGGGCTGAATATTGTCTTATTATCTGCTGAATTTTTCTATTTTAATTGGGAGATTTCTGCACCTCAACCATCAGTTTCAGCTTAAAGAAGGACACACCAACAATCAGTGGGAATATCTACAGTCATAATGTATTCAGCACACAGAATTTGACATTTATTTTTCACTGTTCATTGCGAGCTGCTCAAACTCTGGTTGTACTGCGGCTAATGTATGTAAACCTATACATGTATTACACATTGATGTACAACTGTATTTCAAACAATAGCTTATGAGATGATGCTTATGCTTTTTTTATTCTCCTTATCCTTAAATCTGACTCCGGAACTTTGTTTTTACATCATGACTAACAAATTTTGCATTTGAACTGCAGCCTGAAAAGCTCATATCCTCCCTGCGTCAACTTGTGTGTGCGCAATTTGGAGGTGTACGCCCCTCTCCACAGCTGGCAGATCTGGATGAGTTGCCAGGACATGTACAACCCAGACATGCCATTCCATCCCCATATTTGTGAACCTCGAAATCATCAAAAAAGATTTTGGGGATTTGTTGCACTCCATCTCTCATAAAGAGAAGAAAACTGGGTTACTAATAGCCAGAAGATCTGCCTGAGATCCTGTTTGCATGCTGGTTGCCCTTTAAAGCAACTGTGCACTGCTAAGTGCTGCGGCTCATTCATGTGCAACTTTATTCCTTCCTCTTTTTAACGTTTTTTCCCCCCATATATTGATATCGTATACTTGAGGTGTTTACTGCTTGAACAAGATGGAAAGCAGCTGACTGAGTCATCAGCTGAGGAAAGAAAGAATCTCAAAGATTTTACTTACACAGATACTTCCTGTATCCATACCTACAGATAACCTTCTGGTCTCTGGGTTAAAGGACATACAGGAACATGAGGCTGCAAAAAAATGAAAGAAGAAAGTCTGTTTTAAGTCAAAATTATGTGAAATAACTTAAAACATTATAAGAGGGAAGTTCTAGTAGCAGAGTCTGAAGTCCTACCACTTTGACTATAAAACAGATGCAAAGATCAGCTTTTCTTTAGCTTTGAGTTGCGTTTAACAGGCTTACTCACTGGTCTTGAGTTCCACTATTAAGAGTGGGTCATGTGACTACAAGTAAGCAAAGTTTGCCTAACAAATGCAGAAGCACGAGAGAGGACCAGAAAAGAAAAAAAGAAAAGGGTGACAAATGTCAAATAAAAATACAGAAGCAGTTCAGATAAAATCAGGAGAAGAAAAAAAATAGTTGTTACCAAAATAAACGGTTAAAAAAAACATACAAACAGGTTATTTCCGATTCTGTTCAAAACTCTACAACTTTACTGGCAGCATAAAACGAGTGTGACCCAGATCTTCTGCGGCAGAGTGCTGTGGAAATCACATCAGTCGTTTTATGCGTCCTGTAAGGCTCTGAAGCGACCACAAGCGTTAAGGTCAAGGTCAGCATAGCATCTGAAGCAGCCGCAAAAACGCTTCAACATCCTGAGATAAAAACAGCCTCAACTTAAAAACAACAGCTCTATTCATAAAGTTCATTTTTAATTTGTGTCAGAAATTTGGATGTAAAGTTACTCACTTCCCCCTCCCCCAAGTTGGCACTTATTTTTATATATACTTTTTGAGTCTTATAAATTGTAATTAGTTCAATAATGTTACATAGATTAATAAATAGGTTTCTGAAGCCTACTGCTGATCTTTTTTCAAGCTACATTCAGCCAGACGTTACATTCCACAAAGGTGAACTCTATTCACTAACAGGGAGACTTCTAGAAGTATTCATGTTGAATTTTATTTAGAGGCACAGAGAAAAAAAATGCCCAGCCACCTTTTGTTTTTTAACAAAAGTAATTTAAAAAAAACAGGGTTGATTCTCTTTCCACTTCTCAATTATGCACTGGTTTGTGTTACTTTATTGCATGAACTTAACTGAGGAAAAGAAATTACATTTGGGGTTGCAACATGAAGACAATAAAAGTCAGGAAAAGGTCAAGAGGCACTGTGAAAAATTAGGCTGAAAACCGTTCTTCTTTAAGATTTACCAAAAAAAAAAAAGACCTATCTCATAAAATAAATAAATCACCTCATTAACAGGAATCATTTAACTGTAATAAAGTTGGGTTAATTCATATTTTAAGTTTAAGCTTTAACAATGCAAACATCTGCAGTTGGCGTGTGAAACATGGATTCCTGTGTCAGTAAATGAAAACGCCTCACATTCGCAGCCTCTGCCATTGTCGGAAGCAGATCTTGCTGATTGTTACGTAGGATTTCCTTCAGCCGCACAGCTGGAGGAAAACGAGGGCAAACGGTATTTAATGTTCTTCATAAGGAAGAACATTAAAACCTCCTGCAGGAAAAAATTAAAAAATGGATTCCTTATCAGTAGCAACTTGGCTCAAAGTGTTATTTCAATTATTTTTACTGAAAAAATCAGATTGTGAAAACGGGAGAAGAAGAAGGAGTGCACACATGAATACAGACAGGGGAAACTTACATGGCATGTTGTGGTAAACACTTGGCCAGTACTGACCACTGTCCCTCTTCAGCCAAACTCGGATTGTTCTGTGAAGACAGGAGCATCTTCTTAAGTCTAAGGTGAAGTAAATTATTGATAGATACTAATCTATCTATCAGGCCGGTGCTAAAATGTTTGACCCGAATACACCCGGCCAGCTACACAGGAAATAAACTTCAGTTTCACATCTCCTTTGTTCCTGAGAAAAGGGAAAAAACACAAGTGACTGGACTCTGAAGATCTAAAGATTTGATTTGAAAAAAAAGATATATAAATATAAATAGATGTTAAACTAGGGTAAAATCATGTGCCTCTATGCATCTGCTAGAACAAAACATTTTCATACCAAATCCAAATAAGTTAACCAACCGTATTTCACGAATAATTCTGCAGGCTTCAATAAAAAGCAACTGAACTTCCTCCTGTCTCGTCCAAAAGCCTTCATCGGTTCTCTGCCAAATCCTTTCAGGTGAGAGTTTAATAAAGCAAAGAATGAGCCTCCGGTTGTCTCCAGCTAAAGCATTAATGACGACGAAGGAATGAAATTCCTTAAGTTAGGCTAAATTGATCACCCCGCAAAGGAATTCATCCTGTGTTTGTGAAGAGCTCCACTTTAAAAGTCTTAAATAGTATGTTTATTTAAAGAGAACAAACATACTTGGAATTTGTTGGAATGTATTTTTGTATGTGAATTTCTAAAAATGTTTGATTTTTTTAAAAAATAGCAAAATAAATAAATGGATTCTCAAACACAAGTCAGACTTTAGTTTGCAGTCACTTGTTTTATCATGAAGAGGAGTCAGATGAGGATGTTTGTTTCCCCTCATGCACAGACGTATTTTTGCTCATTTACCACCGCAGAAATGCACGACTTACTAATGTTAAAGGAATGTTCAGGAGGATCGTGCTAGACAGAGCAGGTTGGGTTAATTGACCAAATCCTCCCTCTCTTTAGAAATTTCTCCTTTCCTTCGATGAAATAGGAAGCCTCCTCTCATCTTTCCACCTCATTGTTTTCCCAACCTTTAACTACTTGGTGTTATGTTACAGAAAGACACAAAAGCAAGATCAGATTATTTGTCTTAGGAGGCCAGATTTGGAGAAATTGCAGAAAGCAATTTAATATTTAGATAATTAAGCTGAATATAAATGATTGAATTCCACCACTTTCAGTCTACTGTGATTTATTTTAGGAATTCAATTACCTTTTTATTTTTTTTTACTTATGGGGTCCATATAATGACTAGTACTCATTGTTGAAATGGAACCGAAATCTAAAATGAGCATAAATAAAATATCAAATCATTCTCAGACATTAGCCAAAGATTTTAATATGGTAATCTGGCATCTGTGTTTTTCCTTTTTTTTAAATGCCACACAACGGGTTTACATGCAACCAAAACTCACTCCATTGCTCTAGCCACTTGTGTTTATATGATATTTTTATTGGATTTGACCAGTTATGGGGTTCATTGCTGAACCTCATTTAATTCCCATGTAAGTTAACATAGCACATATTAGACTTTGAATATGTAACCTGAAGAATCTGAGACTGATAAACCCTGCTAATGTTTTTTTTTTTTGGCACAGCTGGGAAATCTAGAAAAGAGGTGTGAAAAATCCCTAAAATAAATCCATCTTTTTCTGCTGAGACATTATTTCACTGTGGTAAATTTAGAAAATTATCATTTTGAAACTAGTAGTCAGTCAGATGGGGTTGAGGGGGAAGTTGTTAGGAAATAAAAATGTAACAAAATCCTTGGTGTAGCACTTATTGGTACCATTACGCTTAGCATTGGTATTAAGGTAAATGGAACCCCAAGGAAACAAAGCAAACAAATTCAGATACCTACAACAGGCACAGAATCCTACATGAAACCTGTGAGAGAGACTATAACAGCTGACCCCGGAGGATCTAAAGAGGCAGTGTGAAAATAAATGGTCAAAGATCCCTCCCTCTCTCTGTATGCTCAAACCTTGTGAAACTGTTAACAGAGGCAAAGTGCTGAGCTACTGCCAAAAGGGTGCTGTACAAAGTCTTGACAGCAGGGGTGCTAATAATATTTCAATGAAGATTTTTACAGTGTTATACAGATATATATATATATATATTCTCTCATTGAATAAATGTACTGAAATTATACATTAGTGTGATATTATGCTACTGTAATAAAGAATGATTTCCCACATCGTGCATGACTGTTTTGAAGACATATGAACATGTAATGACAAATAGCTTCATGCTTAACAGAAAAAAAAGTCAATATTAAGGTAAAACAGCCTCAGATTTATATTAAAGGTTATTAGGTAGCCGCCGTGTGGCGCAGAGACCTACCGGTCCTCAGAAACGCTGATCACCCCGTCTTCTTTCGGGATGATCGCCGCCGCGGTCACAGCCTCCGGGAAAGCCTCGATTTTGCTCAGCAGGCACGGCTTCCGAGCCTGCGGACGAGGCTGGATTTCGGCCGCCATGGCGGAGCAGTGTGGCGCGCGGTCCTCCGCCTCCCCTCCCCCGTCTCGGGGAAACATAACCCGCCGCGGTCTCCCACGCCAGAGCCTCGGTGGAGAAGCTGCTACATGTACCTGTCAGGAAGAACCGACACGGTGTTGTGACTTCGGCAAGAGGTACGGCCAAGTCAGCTGACAGACATCTCGCCGCCCACAGCCTCCCTCGCTCTCCACACACGCACTTCACTTCCGGTCCACAAAAATAAAACGTCCGGTCTTAGGCGCTGGTCAAAATTTCAAAGTAAAAGCTTTGTTTTTGAAGGCTCTCAGGCAAACATTTAGTGGATTAGACTAACAATTAAACTAATTAATTAATTAGTCGTACGAATTATTTTCAAGGTGAATGGAAATTAATACTTTTGGTGGAGAGAAAACGATTAACAAGGAGGGCGAATGCTCGCGGTGCTGCTGTATTTCAAAATTCACCTGCAATTTCAGACTTGCATTTCTGAAAATTATTGAAGAAAAATATGGATTAATCAACTCCTGAAATGCACAGTCCACTTCCCTCTGTGTGAATATGAGCAATGATTCAATTTAAACAAATTTAATTTGTAAAGCATTTACATTACAGAAATGCAACTGACCTAAAGTGCTTACGAAAATAAGACACAAAAAGTAACAATCACCACGACAGAAATAACAAAACACAATTCATAAAAAGTAAATACTCGCAAAAAACACAAGACATTAAATTATATATATTATCACTACAACTTTGCATCATAAAACAAACATCAAACTGGTGTCATTAAAATACTTTATTATTATTATTATTATTATTATTATTATTATTATTATTATTATATTATTATTATTATTATTATTATTATTATTATTATTATTATGTCCAAATAATTCTGTATCACTGTTACAGTCACTAACTTGTGTTTTCAGTGGTTGATCTGCAGATTTCTTTACTGAAGTTTCCAGCAGGGGTCAGAGTTTATTGTCACTGCATACCCGATGCAGAGACATTCAGGTTACATGCCTGAAACATGAGTGACAGGAAGCAACACTTATTCAAGTGGTTTTCTTTTTGTTTGGTTGTTTTTTTGTTTTGTTTTGTTTTTCCGCAATCAGCTCTGTCGAACGTTTTACACAAACATACGCAAAAATAGCAAAACGTCCAAAGATTTAAATTTATATATCTGTAAAATCATATCTAAAACCTTTCAAAACTAATTTCCACTGGGTATCTAGAAACTGTTATTTCCGCGCACTTAGAAGAAACCGACAGGGGTCACAGCATCCCAACCATATTTGTAGAGAAGTGAAACTATTTTGCATTTTAGGAGGTTGTGTGTGAAAACTAATTCGGCCAATTGGACCAAATGCTCCCCTTTTGTTAAGTTGTTTGTAACAAAGCATGTTAACTTGCCTAGAGTGACAGCTGATTGTGCCAAAACATTTGTTTTCCTTTCAGATATTCCACTATGTACCGACCCCGAAACATTAGCTTGACATAACTAATGAGGGTAACACAAAGAATTCACTAATATTGTGTTTTTAAAATGCTTTGTAAATCACTAGTCCATTCTGTATAAGCAACTACATGCAATACATTAAAATGGAAGAAGAATATGTTTGGTTATTTTGGGACTTCACAAACTCATCCAAGTACAGAACTTAATTCATTAATTAGTTAAGAAAAATAAGAGCAGTAAAACTCTAAAATACTGTCAAGTATTTTTTCAAAAACTTTGCTAATTAGCTAATAATCAACTAAGAGTTGTCATTAACCCAACAATGTTACATAATGCAAAAACAGAAATAGTTCTAGCGGGTGGTCTGAAAAAAAAAGTGACGAAGTGCCAATACTTCCGCTCATAATCTGACGGGGATTTCAAAATAAAAGCCCAACCTCGGAACAGATGGCAAGAAACTATTTCTGGAGTTTGTCTGTTTGTAGGCAGTCTTAACCTTCAGAATATTATCATGAGATTATTGCTATACATTTATTTATTTTTAGCAAAGAAGTAACTCTTCACGTAGCAGGTTCTTCAACTCGAAAAATTCATTTAATTTCTCAAATGACGGCTCCTTTAATGAATTAAGTGTCACACACTATATCTGTACATCTATATTTATGTCGTTTTCTTTTATTAGCTATAGTACATTGTCGGGCTGTGCGACTTCACGCCCCCACGGAAATCGCTTTAATGTGAAAAACTTGCCAGTGACACTCCGGAAGGCGGACTGTGTGTCCCTGAGTGTCACAGCAGACAGGAGGAAACTGTCCCTCCTTCTATTTGCCGTCGCGGAGCCGCCGGATGGCTTCGGCTCGTTTTGCGGAAGTGATTAGTTTTCCACCGCGCTACATTGTGTACATTGTTGCGCACATCTTATTGGTGTCACGCAGCTCTGAAAGTGGCTCACAAACAATGTGGAGATTAACTGGAGCAATTTCGGTTGATTTTTGTCGAGACATTGTGCAACGTCTGACACCAATTAACAGTCGTTTATTTCTAAAAAAAAAAAAAAAAAAAAAAAGCAGAAGAAGAAGAAGAAGAAAGATAGCACAGACACACACGTTGGGGTTTATTATTTAGCAAGCTGAAGACAGAGGGGAAACATATATCAGAGCTGGAGTGCGTGTGTGTGCATGTCAATCCCCTTTCCCCGGATCTGTTCACATGAACCTGTTTACCTTTCCGTCTGATCGTCTTTATCTGGTTATCACATGAGAGCTGAAGGAGTTGTTTGTTCGCCAACATGCGAACAATATGGTTGTTTGACAATGTTCTCTTTGTCATCAGTTGTCTCTCGTTTAGTCTTGAAGGGTTGTCTTTCACATTGGCCCACGCCCGAACATAAGATGAAGTAAATGCTGATTATGTAATCTGCTCTCGGGGTAAACACGGGTCACTGATGGCTGATATTACGTCAAATAGCCGCAGCGACGCTATGGAGAAGGGCTTTGCAACGCCGCGAATGTGGTGGTCTTTAACATTAAAAGGCAATACAGAATGTTTTCCTCGCATTCCTGCCTATCGAGCATTCAAGCATGCGCATCAGGAGCCAGGCTTTGGCCTTATTTGGATATGTTAATGAGCGGCTGGTGGCAGCCAATGAGGAGCGAGTGTGCCTCCACGTGACTGTGAAAGAGCGCTCACGAGGCGGGGTCAGGCGCGGACCTTCAGTTAAAACCAGTGGAAGAGGCACATCGCATTCAGTGTAGGGAGAAGCAGGGACTCACTCAGAGGGAAAGTTTGTTACTATGAAACTTAGGAATATTTACAAAATATATACAAAATTATCAAAATCCCTCGTGCATCCATAACTTGCCCCAAGGGTGCCAGGTTTTAGGCTTAGTTTTCCCGGAATGGGCTTCTACACTCACTATTCTTACACTTTTTTGAAAGAATGTGTGAGACAGACAGTTAGCCAGCCAGCTAGCTAGCTAGCTAGCTGAGAGGTGAGACAGGCGGCAGGAGAACAAAAGATTTTTTTTGCGTTTTGGCCGGTTGTACTGACACCAAGTCCATGCAGAACGCGTCATTACCACCACAATGCCCGTTTTACTTTTTCTGATAGACACGTCCGCTTCAATGAACCAGCGCACCCATCTGGGCACTACCTATCTGGACATAGCAAAAGGCGCTGTTGAGACTTTTATGAAGGTACTGTAACGACGGGACACATTGATATATCGGGAGATCCCGAGCGAGGGGGGGGGAGAAAAAAAAAAGAAAAACAGAAATCGCAGCTCAGATCGTCGTTGTACTGTTGCAGAGCTCGCCTGTCAAAGCTGATCTCTCGTTTAACCGAACATAATTCTTCTACTATTTCCACAGCTCAGAGGGAGAGATCCGGCGAGCCGAGGGGACCGGTATATGTTGGTAAATTTCGAGGACGCTCCGTTCGGGATAAAGGTAGAAATTTGCTTTCGGGTCATGTCCAGCTTTACATCTGTCCTCCCCACCTCTTCACCACGTTGTGATCACTGTGTCAGTCGTGTAGAGGGAGAAAAAAATCTTCAGGAGGAGCTTTCATACCCCTTTTAAAACATGGCCGACATTTTGTTTCAGTGTGAGCAGCAAGGAACTCTGGGTGTTATTTATACAGCGAGGTAATATCTGAGGGGGGAGTGAGGAGGAAGAGGAGGGAGTGATAGACTCATAGCCTACTTTACTTGTTTCAGAGGAAATTGCCACTTTTTGTCACTGGAGACTGTGCGACTTTGTTATTTGCTCGGCTTGGACCAACCTGTAGGGCTGTCAAAGTATTGTTGACATGCATTTCTTAAGATGTCTTTTGTCACAGTTTCACAGACATTCAAAGCCATAACAATACAGTTGAAAAGACAAATCAGGTTTAATGACAGTTCATCTTAAATGTGATGCATTTTAGACTGATTAATTTCAGAATGTCAGTTTGTAAAAAAAAAAAAAAAAGTTACCCATCTGAAGAGAGCATTGACTTTTCTGCAATCCCACCTCCTGAGCAAGCATGCTGCGACAGTGGAATGGAACAACTTATTTTTTTTGACCAGAAGGAAAACCTCGGTGTCAGTGGCCATCTGCTGCGATCAACGGACGGCTCAAGAAGACTGAAGGCAACCGCAGAAGGAGAAAAAAAAACACACAAAAAAAAAAGCAAAAGCGCAGCCGTTTAACAGCAGAAATGGCTTTTCGTGGTTTCGCCTCGGAAAGAAAAAATACTGGAACATATTTACAGGATGAAAACAGCATTAAGATGGTTATCTATGCAGTTTAATCGCTAAAACATCGTTTAATATTCAAGAGACGTGTTTCTAAGATGATTCAATTTATATTACGGATATAGCGAGAATATCAAATAAAAGCAGGAAACAGTAGCAATAAAACATTAAGTGCCTAAAATTGTGTTAACTTTAGGTGCTGTTGTATTTATTTGTAAGTGGAAGTGATATTTTGCTTAAATCAAATCACCAAATGTGATAAATCTGTAGGTATAGACCTTATTTGCTCACTGAATATAGTGGTAGATAACTAGTTATTGATTTGTAAATTAAAATATGCCAATGCAATAGTGTGTGAGGACAGTGGAGCCCATTTAATTAGAGTATAAAGTGCAGCTGTGAGTAAGAATTTGATAACAATAATAAATAAATGCAAACAGCACTTATAAAAGTAGTCATATAGTCAGTACTAGGTAAAAGGAAGGCTTCAGCAATGTTTTAATTTTTTT